CTCTTCAGCAGTTCCTTGTCTCTCTTCTCTTCCATCTCTGTTAGCTTTGCCATTATGAATGTTCTGAATTCTTTATCAGACATTTCCATGATTTCCATTGAACTGTGTGTGGATAAAGAGGAGCTATCCTTTTCCCTTGTGGGAGAGGTATTTTCCTGCTTCTCTATATTTCTTGTGGTCCTGCAGCGATTTCTAGTCATCTGGTGGATGGTCAGTTTCTTCCCAAACTTGGAAGTTCAATCACGTGAGTTTTAAATGCTGGAGGCCCAGTTATCAGTGGGACATCTTCCTTTCTCCCCAAATGGCTAGATCGCAGGAGCCATGGAGCTGTCTATCTCTTGAAGAAGGGCTGTTCTGGGGCTATAATTCTAAAAGTTAATCCAGAGGGTTTTTTTATTATCAAAGAGTATTCTGGGGCCAGCAGTTAGCGTAATGGCTATGTCGCTGGACTCCCACATAGTCAACTGCGGTTCGAGTCCTGGACCCAGTGGCTTAAACTTATGCCAGGCGTGTGTGCATGCGTGCCCAAGATCCCGAGAGGAGAATGGAGAAGAAGGGATTGCGGTGTGGCCATCCCCCCTGGGGGGTGATTTCTCGCTTTCTATCTCTCTGTCTCTGTCTGGCGAGCACATGCACCCTATAGCACAAACCTCTCCAAAAAAAAAAAAAAATAAAAAAGAGTGTACTGGCCAGCCCCAGTAGTGTGTGCTGCTAAGACCTCATGTCCCACGTGGTAAGCCCAGAGGGAGCCCAAGTGCACTGGGCCAATCTGAAGACCAGACATAGTGGCCTGTGCCTGTGATCCCAACTGCTTGGGGAGATTGAGGCAAGAGGATTGCAAGTTCAAGTCTGGCCTGGGCAGCACAGTGAGACCCATCTGGAAAAAGGAAAGCAAAATGCTACAATGTATACTTGTAGTCCCAGCTGGAAGGGTGAGGCAGGAGGATTTTCACATGGCAGGAACCTGCCTTTTTTGGTTTGTTTGAGAGATTTTTGCTACAGGGTGTATATGCATTCACCAGAAAGACAGAGAGAGAGATGGAGAGAAAGAGGGTGAGAAATCATGTCCAAGAAAGGATGGCTACATTGCATTCCCTTCTCTTCCTCCATTCTCCTCTTGGGATTTTGGGCATATACACACATGCCCTGCGTGAGTTTCACGCTGCCAGACCTGGGACTTGAACTGCAGTCAGCCATGTGGGAGTCCAGTGCCTTAACCACCATGCCACCTGCTGGCCCCAGACCCTGTCTTTGAAAATAAAAAATAAAAACAACCTAAATGCCCATAACAGAACTGGCTGTTACGGTGTATCAATATATGAATATGTGCAAATATGCTAATGTTTATGCCAATGTAAAACAATCTTCAAAATGTATTAAGTGGAGAAAGCAAGGTGCAGAAGAGCAAAGTACATAGGGACAACCTTGTAGTGTAGTCATTAAGTGCAGCTTTCGGAGCCAGATCCCACGACTGACTGTGGTTCAAGTCCTAGACCTAGTGGCT